GGCGATAGCGGTACCTGGCGACTTCTCGTTTTTGGAGCTCTCTCAAACTGAAACTGGTCGACAATGAGGGGTGTGCAATTGATTATCTGTCGAGTGCTGTAGCAAACTATGTGTCGTGTTATGACTAACAGGCCTACAGCAACACATTGCAGCAGAAAAAGGTGAGACCAAAGTTTTTGTGTCAGTACCCCTTTAACAAATAGTGCAGGTGCAAAATTGAATGCATCTAAGGTGGTAATTCATTAGAATAAAAGCTGGTAAAACTAGAAAGCTCATTCTACTTCACAAGGAATATGTCTGTAATCTGAATTATAATGATGGCTTTGATAAAGACTTTATATTTTTGTGTTATCTGTTGAAAAATTTGGAGACCCTTAAGCTTCGCCTTCAGGAGTTGAATGCAATAGCGATATTCTTTGCCTAGTGTGTACTCCTAACATTTAGTGTGAGTGAGTGAAACAACTTCATTAGGTCCATAATGAGCGCGAGGTAACTTGACGTCACCTGTATGAAATATTTTCTAGCTTGCTATGCACCTATTACGTCGCCTTTAGGGTGCAGTAGCGTGTGTGCTTTTTGTAGTGGGGCACTGGCTATGAAGTCATCATGATAATCCCATATTGTGATGCCCAATGGCAATGTACGCTTGTACCACGCAATATTTCATGTTGTATCGTGAAGCATGTATATAGGACGCATGTGTTTCTAAAGCATGAGAGTTACTTTCCCTGCATTTCAAAACAGAGAAAGTTATTTTCACTGTATTCACAAGCAGAGGCATGGCTGTTTGGTAGAACAACCACTTGAATCCCCACTCAGACCCAGAAATTTTATTATTTTATTTGTACCTTTCACGATTTTTCTATCACGCAAAGATAATTTTCTGCTCACAACCAACGACACCAACGCCGATGTTGTAATATCTGTTAAACGAGCTCTTTAATGCTATCGTGCTAACATCACCTTCTGTGTGGTCTTTCCTTTATATGTAATGATTGCGACGCTATTATGAATAAGAGACGTGGCCTGGCTCATACGCCATGTTTATTCTATTCTGACTTCTTCCTCCTCAGCTTCTGTCAACCATCGCTACCTTCTTACGTTACAGGATTCCCCCTCCCCCCGAAAGAATGTGCGCATTGCATATTACAATGCATGATGAACAAGCAGTCTTAGAACTTACAAAAAAAATGTCCAAATGGGCTGTCGTTTTACATCACATTGAAGTTCCGTAAGGTCGTACAAAGACTTCACAGGAGAGGGCAGTAATCCGGTGTTATCAAGTACAGTTCTGGTGGGCGAGGCTGGCTGTTACGCTCTGGACAACATAAGCATTCTTTGAGCTTGGAAACAGACGGAAATGCAGCCGGTATTCTTGCAAGGAATGAACGAGGTTGGAACGCCTTGCAGGATCAACAGTTTTGTGGCCGTCGCATTTTTCGTTGTGAGTGATACAAACGCCGTGCATGCAGTTTGCATGCCATTGATCGGGGCTGATTGGGCGCTGCTTGTGTTCCTGCAGAGTATAAGTGGTTGTTTTGTGGCTTCTAGGGAGTTTTCTATGGCGACGGCGTAGATGTTCAGATCGAAGGCGCAATCTTGAATTGAACACTGGTGCAGTAAAGTTCCTTCACTTTTCTTTCTGCGAAAATGGCTCAGATGCGGAACTGATCTTTTTTCAGTGGTCGTTGTTCACGACATTCTTTAAGCGGCAAGTATGCTTGCGATGTAGCTTTAGCTATTCTTTGTCTTTGTTGGTGTGGCTGTTTTAGCTCTTGAGGTTATCCTTGTTGCTTTTGTTGGCATTGCTGATGTTGCAGTATCTGACGAGGTGGACTTCCTTTAGAAACATGAGCCCGCTTTTCTTTGCAGGTTGACGTGACCAGCAAATAATTGGTACTTGTTAGGGTGTCGCGATGCGTGTTAGGCAATGAAAGTAGTGTGCCAGAATTTACAGAAAGATCTGGTGAAGCTCTTTCAACGCCGTTTTTAATGGTCGCTTTTGGCACAGGGCAGTGCTTGAGAGTTGATCCCTTCGAGCCTTCTGTGTTGGTTAGACTCTCAAGTGGCTGGAAACTCGACGGCAACACCACGAAAGGCTTGGTTTGATCAGATTTTACTCAGAAATGTCTCTCTGTCTGCTCAACTTTGGAGCTCAGCAGTTCTGATGCATGAATATGGACCGTAGACCTTGGGCTTGGCTGAGTATCTTCGGAGTTCCTAAGCTCTATACCAACCGTAGCAAGCGTGTGAGGCGTAGGGCGGGCGTTGTGAGTAACTGAAGAGCCAAGTGACGGAAAACCAGGTAATGGGCCAATTGTACGACATGGGGAGTACAGAGCACTGGATGATTCCGTAACACGAGTCCTATGATGCAGTAACGATGTAAAGGTCAATTTTCGTGCCGTAGCAAAACACGGTGGAAGGTCAACTCCTCGTGGAAGCAGATCTTGATGTCTTTCACTGAGCGGGTGTTTGAATTGGTCTTGTCGGAATGGGAATGGCCGACTCAACTTGGGTGTTTTAGGGCTTGAAGATTTGATATGTGGGGTTTAATGTCTCAAAACCACCATATGATTAGGAGAGACGCCGTAGTGGTGGGCTCCGGAAATTTCGACCGCCTGGGGTTCTTTAACGTGCACCCAAATCTGAGCACACGGGCCTACAACATTTCCGCCTCCATCGGAAATGCAGCCGCCACAGCCGGGATTCGATCCCGCGACCTGCGGGTTAGCAGTGGAGTATCTTAGCCACTAGACCACCGTGGCGAGGCTTTAGTGCTTAAAGACTGCTGGTGGTTGTGACAGCTGAGATCGATTGCCTTCAGATCACGGGGTATAAGCTAATATTTATCGTAATCTTTAAATCGAATGATCATTTCTTCTTTGATTTTTTCGCCACAATTCATCGTTTTCAATTATGTAGCTGAAGTAAAATTTGAATGCCTCACCAGTGATGTAGTTGGTGAAGTTTGTGACCATCTCCTGTTCCGACCAGGATGCAGCGGTGGCGTGGAGCTCGAATAGGTTGAACCAGTTCTGTACGGGTCCGTCGTCCGCTGCTCCAGTGTACTTGGGGATGTCAAGGTCAGCTGATGGTTCCGTCATGATGCTCGTCACTGTGTACTGCTAGAAAATGATTCGATAGTCAATGTATGGGCAGGGCGTCTTGTGCGGAACTGTGTTGATGATGAGCGACTGATGAAGGGGCTGGCAGGTCTTCATCCCAACGACTTGTGTGATGCTATTATGAATGGGAGACTTGGTTGGTTGGTTGGTTCCTCAACACCTTGGCGCAACCAACCTAGGGGGATAGGCCATGAATGGTACGGTGCCTTGTTTTTTAAATTCATTCACTTCTTGAAAGAGAGGGTTGCATTAATTAGGTAATATAGGTAATAATGAAAAGGTGTTAAACTTCTAAACAAAAAAAAACTTGAAAAAAGAAAACATAATAAACATACAAAAAATATACATAAAACAACTGAAGTTACTTATTTTTAGCATTCCATTCTTTTAGATTCTCGTAAGAAATTTGTAACAGTGGTAAAAACGCTCCTGTGGCTGAATCCAAATGCGACTGCGTTAAATGAAACAATCACCGGAAGTGTCAAGTTTAGCCCAACTTTCGTAGGGGTTTTTCTAGTAGACTTTCCCTTTGAGTTTTGAATTTTCGGCGTGGTCTGGCTCATGCACCATGTTTATACTATTCTGACTTCTTCCTCCTCAGCTTCTACCAACCATCGCTACTTTCTTACGTTATATGATCCTGTAAGTCAATTTATGGCAAGAAAGAAAGTGCAGCAAAAAGCAGTATATGCTAAACCCAAAGTATTATTTGATGAACGCACACATGATTAAAAAAAATACAATTGCCAATGTGGCCGGTGGACCAGCCTTTACCTGAGTGGACAAGGCCAGTCTACTGGCTGCAACGCTGGTGACTGAACTTCTTTTTGTGTCAAGTGCATGCATGTTCATTTTATAATATGCATGTATAGTATAATATGCATGTATAATTTACTTATCTGTGCAGATATGTCGCAGTCTCTCAGATGCATAAAATACTGTTTTTCCCGCTACACACTGAAAATAAACTGCAAATGAATTTATGAAAGCGTAAATCGTTCACGAAAGAATTGAAATCAATCAATCAAGAAGCAAGTACCAGTACATCAAATAGATAATCACTAATTGTTTGATGCAAACTACGAAGACGAGAAAATGTACACAGGATGCAATTTTTAGGTCCTCCAAGCAGTAAGGCTATGCCCAAGGCAGTACTACTACTTCTTGAGAGCGACAGACACCTTAATGATAAAACTAGAACTGCACTGCCTTCATTTAAAAAAACTTCGCTTCAGATATAGTGACGGGAAAGTGCATAGCTAGTATGTGCATATACCACAAAGATGAGAAAAATCGTACAGCAGGTGCCATTATTAGCACAGTTCCAGTTACAAGTTTTGTTGTCATGCCTTTACAGCAAAATCATCACCGTTGCGAAATTAGTTTGGTGACAAGCATGCAGCTGCAGTGTGCGTTTAATACCAGGATACGTAGCGGCCATAAGCACACAGCATTCAGTTTTTATGCTGTGGAACTTATAGTTCTGACTTCTAGCAGCGAGACGCCGTGAAACACCTGCCAGTGCTTGATCATAGTGATTAGTCCCTCATAAAACCAGTGGCCAGAGCAATGAGATGGTCACCAAGGGAAGGGCTGCAGGTCAGCTGGAATGATGAAATTTACTAGTTCGCAGGGATTACATGGAAACTGTTCACACAAGATGGGGTTAAATCGGAAATCGTTGAGAAGGGTATTCATCATGCAGTGGTTATCAAAGAGGGTTGTAACGATGTATTAGTTACTGTTTTTTATGCCGCACCAAAACATTCATATAAATACTCGTTCGTTGAATCGTTTTCTTCAGCTGTGAGTGCTTTTTTTGGCATAAAAGGATTTACGCTACCTCTTCCTCCATGTTTCGTGTGTTTGCAGAGGAACTACGTGAACACTTCTCACAGTTTGGCTACGTGGCGTCTTCTAATGTCATTTTTGTAAGTACAAGCACCATCTTCTTTGCTAGCTGTTGCATAGTGACATACACGGCATTTCTCGGCCCATGTGTTGGTTCTTTTAGGGTTCTCATTCACATTGCGATTTGTTTTCTGAAGATTGTGTTAGGTGGAAGTGTCATGGGTATTGTAAACAAAATGTTAATAACAAAGCCTCGTAAACAGCAAAGGATGTGGACACACATGACTAACACTGATATGGCATGAGTAGCATTCATGGAGCATCAGAGTTCGTCGAAGGTCCTTGCTTTTCCTGAGGTTGCACAAAGTCTGCATGTTCTCTGCTGCTGATATTGCTATAGATTTTTCAACCAGCCCCAGGGTTTACCGTGATTGGTTGTCTTACATGTAGGTTTATTTTTCTCGCTTTGAGTGGCCAGTTTGACTGTTTGCCCATTAGGTTATTTATTCTAAGTACAATTTTTTGTTAGCACAAGCCGTATCGGATAAGTGGTTGTTCTTTCACTGCTTACTCTCGTGGTTGTAGCTGAGACTATCAATTTAGCTCTTGAAAAGCCACCGATACCTTTGAGGTTTTGAAAAATCGGTCGCCCAAAATTCACAAGTTGGACAAAGTTGAGTACAGTCAGTCACCGATTTTCACTAAGCCAAAAGGAGATCAGTATAGACTTTTCAGAAAGTAAAGCTTGCTGGTTTACATGCTGGTCCGATATTTGCACTTCATAGCGAGGTTAATACACAGGGTATCTTTTCTGAGACAATGTGGATTTTTAATAAAAATACTGGGCACCTGCTATCTTTGCACACGCACTGTACATCAAGGTGGAAATACCTTGCCGTTGGTGATGTTCATTGTTGATTGTGAAAAATGCTAGCTTTTTAGTTACCGATTTAAGTGAAGTTTGTAATGATAAAGTTCTAGGAAGCAATAACATATGGCATACTAAGCCTTTTTTTTTTTTATGACTAAGCAAGGATGTTGAAAACGTATGTCTTTCTATCTGTGAAAACGTACTTTCTATCTGTGAGGTAACATTTTATTGCATCTTGAGCAGGCCTGGTGAACAATGAATGGGCGGCAGTCAGTTTTCTCTAGTGAATGTATAGCTGCTATCAAAATCTAAAATGAATGTTTTTTTTTTTTTTTTTTCAAGTCCAGTCACTTTAGTCAGTTCATGTGTGCAGAAACTGTTGGAAGAACTGCAATGATGAAACATCCCATCTCTCTTCATGTCAGTTATTGAAGGAAGCTCTGTACGAAAATCTTAGTAATGAGTAGCCAGTGGCCCACAACCCTGAACAGTCCTGTACATGTAGAGAGGGTGTATTCAAAATAAAACATACACGAGTTTGTTTTCATTACTGTAAAAAATTAATTCATCACTTGGTAACACCACATATTGAACACAGAGCTGTGCATGGCCCGGTGATCTAACTTGTCCAGGCTTCACTTAATTTCACAGTCGTGCTTTTACAAGTTTTGCACAGGGGCAAATTTCAATTGGAAATGCTTCATAACACTTTCAGTAAACAGTTGCTAGTTGCAAGGATGACGCCCATCCATTCAAAGCAAATCTGAAGCCTGTACTATATCATTCCCATTGCGGTTTAAGCGCTGAATAGTGGTGCCAGATTTTTCTCTAGATTTTTCATGAAGCTCCATGTCCCACAGCTTGTCATTAACATGAAAATGCAGCTGTTGCCACTCGTTAGCCATTACAGATCATGGTGTTGAGGTGTTTTGCGGCAGCAAATGTGAGAATATTGGATGCCGACAACAGTAGTTACTATGAGGTCAACAGGTACTATGTAGTCGACAGCATTGGTTGAAAAATACTGCAGAGAGTTACATGCAGAGACTATGATTATTTGCTCGCATTGCATATTATATAGCTTTTATCTGGGCATCATGCCAACCTTGCTCTCGCCCCCATTCACGTGCTAAAACATTGAGGATGTCTGCACTAACTTCACATTTCTCATGGCTGTATCAGCCATCAAGGCAAATTGCACAAGGTCGTCGGCAGAGCTATAATGAACTAGAAGAGGCGTAGTGGCATGATCGGAGGGGCTTGCCAGGTTGCCCGACGTCCCTTTATGTCCCGGACGATCACTGGGGTAGTTGGGGGCGCTGCTGCTCCGTTTCATATTGTGTATGGCGGTAGTATGGTGCGAATGGCTGGGCCTAACGTGTTCTCTGGCCCAACGTGCTAGTGATATTGGCTGGGCTTGCGTGCCATAAGTGTTGGGAGCACCCGCTGCGCTTTAGTGCCTTCTCATGTTGATCGTGAACCCGGAGCGTGTTCGCCGCGTGCAGCGTACGGCATGGCGAAGAGGCGGACACACTCGCACTGCTTCACTCCAGGCTGCTGCGCGGGCTACTCGAATGGGCCAAAAGCATAGCTGTTCTCCGCACCGAAGGATGACGACCTCCGCAAGAAGTGGTGGTGAAACTATTGCAGGAAAGATGAAGCTTTCAACATTTATTCAGCTCTCTGCAAGTACGACTTTGAAGCACAGTTCCTTTTGCATGACTATGTGCACATCATAAACGGCAGCGAAGTGCGGATTTCGAGAGAGAAGCCGTCACTAGCTCCTGACGGCGTGCCAACAGTGCTTCCAGGCCGCCCATCGTATCTCTCCGCCACAACGCCGTGACAAAGCCCAGAAGGGAAGGGGAAAGCTCTGTTGTCAACTGAATCGTAGCGGAAGAAAGCGTGCCAACAAAGTAGGTGCCGATCCTGCAGCTACGAGGGATGATGGTGGAGCACCAGTAGATGAAAATTCGCCTGCAACAGACAGCGACTCATTTTCTCTCGACTGCCTCTGAACCATGAAACCCCTTTCCCAGGATTAGTGTAGCATTGAATTGCAGTCTCGAGACCATGGTGTTTACGACATTTCTCTGAAATGAACGAAGAACCTGAGATGTGTCTCGATAATGTAGTGTGTTTCACAGCGTTAGGAATAGAATTACTGAAAATGTGTACAGTATTTAAGGGGTGCTGCTTCTGAAAAAATCTTTTGTGTCTGATGCAGCAATATTTTGCAAGATGCACATGCCAGCTGTGCTGCAAAGGAGCTATCGACATTGAGGACTTCAGTCAGATTTCTCACTGAATTCATAATTGCATGTGTAAGGTTAGTGTGTGTAGGTAGCAGCACCGATAATATCTAAATCTGCAATCATTGCGATATGAAAATCCGTGGCAACCGTAGGCTGGCGTGCCATAGCCGTATGACAAGTTCAGCAGCACCATCTTGTGGCATTCATGCCAAGATTGGCCTTCTATGCGAAGCTATTTGTGCCTCTACATCTTTTCTAGTTCACTATAGCTGAGCCCCTAAATGACAAAAAACACTGGATTGTGCATCATTGCAATCCGGTTTATCAATTGTGTAGCAATGTTAAAGAAAGTGATCTTTGACTAGTATTGGCTCGAGTTATTCGTGCACACAAACTAGTGTTCTTGCCAAATGCAATTTGTCAGAACACATTGCTCGGTGGTGTGGACCTTGAAAACCTCGCTAAAGCTCTCCATCTGTCATCTCTCATAGGACAAGAAGACCGGGATGTCGAAGGGCTTTGGATTTGTTACATTTGGCAATCGTGATGGCTTCATTAGCGCCACAAAGCAACAACAGCACGTTCTTGAAAACTTTACAGTAAGATTTTCTCTATTTCAAGGGGAGGGGAGGAAAAGTTGTTTTTAGACTGCCTTTTTTTTCTGCTTTTACTTATGCAGACAGCAAGAATAAAGGAATCTTACTTTGCAATTTGCACAGGGTTGGGATACAAGTGGCACGGACACCTGAATCTGTGCCAGTGGCTCTTAGCCTGACAAACAATAAGCTGATCTTATTAAGTGGATACTGTCAAAAGGCTGTTGCACTTTTTTTGCTTGTTACGCAGACATGATGACGATTGTAGCTCCTTTAATGATTCAGGCAGTCTCCATTCATCTTGTGCTTGCATATAAATGATATCAGATTATCTCAACAAGCTATAGTGGTTGGTAATGTCTGAAGCTAAGACTTCTTTTGCTAACAGTATGGTTCAAACTGGCAAAATTTGTGGTACAGTCTCATGTGAAAAGATTGGCACAAGTGACTGGTTGCTGGAGCGACAAGATTGCAACAATGAGCACTGCTTCTCCCCAGCACACTGATATTGAGAGTGCCAAACGCATTCCATTTTCCAAGGCAGTGGTGGCCAGCGGTAATTACTCCAACAAACAGCTTTTTCGGGGCAACTGCGATAAAGATACACTTGCTCGTAACTCCGGCAAAGAAAAAAAAAGTGACATGCTTTACCACATCTTCCGATAACCCGCCATGGTGGTCTAGTAGCTGAGGCACTCGGCTGCTGACCCGCAGGTTGTGGGATCGAATCCCGGCCATGTCAGCTGCATTTTTGATGGAGGCGAAAATGCTTGAGGCCCGTGTGCTCGGATTTGGGTGCACATTAAGCAACCCCTGGTAGTCAAAATTTCCGGAGCCCTCCACTACGGCGTCACTCATAATCATATGGTAGTTTTGAGACGCTAAACTCCTACAATTATGTTATTAATAACAATATTATTATCATTATTAAACATCTGCTGATAAGCAATAAGCAAGTGTTTCCTAAAGGTATAGGCTTTTCGAATAGACCAACAGCAAAAGGGCTGCTCTATTCCAGTCCACCGGTCGCCCGTTTTAGTAAATGAAATGTGCTTGGCAATATCGATATTGGCATGCTCTTGAACAGTACTGGATGTCACAATCTTGCAGCTCTGGCCACCAGTCACTTGGGGTAATCTTTTTTGTTGTTGTTGCGACTGTACCTGTGCTCTTTTCGAGTGGTGCTGAGAAGAAAACAAAAATGCATTGAATCTCACAGTTCGAGCTCTTTGACTGCAAGTGACCTTGACTTTCCCTTTGGCATAAGTGGTGGACATGTAGTAAAGTCCAAGCTCAGTACAGTGTAAAAATAATAATAATAATAATTTAAAAAATTAAGAAAAGAAGATCATTTTGGATTCGAATCATCACCTGTATTACAAGTTTTTCGTACTGAAGAGTAAAGCAAACATAAAGACGGTGAAACCTTATCCTCTTCAAGTGCGGGTGATCTTGAGTTGGCATCACATGACACCGGTGATGTACAGTAAAGCCCTGCCCTCGGATCATTGTAAAAATGTTTCCTTGTTGTAAACTTCACCTCTTTCTAATGATCAGAACAGTTTAAGGGATGTTTCATGGCAGAGAAATCCTTGGGGGGCAGGGGGAGAAACTGGGATTGTAGATCATGCAGTAACAATGTCATGGATTAGCGAGTTAGCTTGACCCTCATGTGCTACCTCAGGGGAAGACGGGGACATTTTCCCTGACAGGTGAGACTATCCCCACTCCCCCCATGGTGGGGGACATAGCGGAATTCCGGGCAGGTGCTTGGCCACATAGTACCAATTGTGTAGCGGCAGCAGGCATTCATTTTGCAGCTGGTGAAACTAAAGTCCCTAGATTATCCCTGAGGATTTGACCTCTATGTAAATACTGCTTAATTTAAACACACAAAATGTCCATCCAGTATTTCTCAAGGGCCCTGCAGCAGAGGTGGCACTAGGTGTCTAGTTTTTACTTTTTTTTGCTTTTGCAAGAGAGGCACCCATAATAATTTAGTTTATTCGTTGGGGGTGGGGGAGCAGAGAAACTAGCAACTTAGGCGCTCTGTTTTGAATACATGTGGGGGGTAAAAACGGGGGTCTCTGCTCTGTAATGCTTTTCCTCACTACCAGAGTTCATTGTGTCGTGAAACACTTGCCGCAATATTTTTTCAAATCTGTCAAGTATGAGTGCAATCACAGGGATTTGTCGCATGCTTCAGGCGCCTTTCTCTTGTTTCGTCTCAATGAGTGTGCTAGACGAGGTATGGATGGGGATGACGGAAGGGTGAGAAGCTATGTCAGTGTGTGCCACAACCTGGAGTATTTTCTCTATATTTAGTTGATTTGAATGTCTTTATTCACTTCAGTTACAACGACAAGTACACCACCACCAGCTCGTGGCTACCACGGTAACTAGAGCACAAGAAGTGCTATTGTATGAAAGTCTGGCTGCTATTAGCTGGCGCATGCCATAGGTTTTGGAAATAAAAATGTGCATAAGCAAGAACTGTCATAGTAGGCCCAGTTCAAAACAAGTGGCCAACTAAGGCATGTAGTGTTCAACATAGCAAAGCTGTAGTGCGCTACATGTTGCCTAATTGAAGTTAGAAAAAAAACAAAGGGGGGGGGGAGGCATTAATTTAGACCGAAAGTACTGCTAAGTTACATTCTTTTTGGCATTTCAGAAGAGAGAAACATGTATATGGCTCCATGCGTCCTTACAACGACCGTGCAGTTCAACTATGTAGTTTACCACAAGGAAAGCAAGCAATTTTGAGCTATTGTTGTCCGGAAACTGCCAATTTTGTGCTGTGCTCAGAAAACATTTGGCAGGCATATTCACAGTGTACCTGACTGCAGATCAGAACTGTGTTTTGAATATGGTCAAAAAGTGTTTGGTGCATATGGCAGACAACATGATAAAAAAAAACACACATTGCGTGCTCTCCGCTTAGTAAATACACGAAGCAAGTTGTATTGCTGGCAGACATTTCTAGAGGTGCCCCATTGCAGAGCTGTTGCGTCTGAATCAGAAGCACTGGCCCATGCGGTGAAATAAAGGTAAAGAGAGAAAATGCTCAAGGACATGTTGGGTAGCAACATAACTTTTGGGTAGCACATCCTGCCCTCCCCCGTGTGCCATTTTTAGCACACTCGAGGTTCTGGAAGAAGAACAAGTGGTATTTGGTCCAATAACTCCACTCATAATTGACTAATCAAAATATCTTGTGGCAAGAGATTCGTGAAGCAGAAGATGAGACGACTAAAGTAACTTCATGATTAGTTATAAAGGTGTTCCAGGAGAAGCATATATTAAACCTGACAGTTTAAAGGGGCCCCGGAACACTTTTTTGAGTAACCATGGAATTAATTCACTGGAAAATCATATTGTCTCACAAATTCAACGCCGCAAAAATTTTAAGAATCCGTCCAGTACGGGCAGAGTTACAAAGATTTGTCGCACGCTGCAATCGCATTCTCTCTTCTCTCGTCCCGATGAAAGCACTGAAAGCTGAGCAGAAAGGGATGGGAGGAGCAAACAAAAAATGTCATGCGCGCTTCGTGACCTTGAGCACTTTTTCATTTTTTTTTTCTTCGAATACACAGGTTTTTCAGTCTGATCACACTCGCACGCCTGGACAAGTCACGGCCTCCCATGGCAATCTCTGTTACGACCGAGCGCACTATGTTTAAATCAACCAATGGTTGATAGATGGGCTTACTACGAGTGATATTTAGGCTTATTCTGTGATTTGTTGAGAGAAAAGAAAGCAATTTTTAGCTGACTTTGTGAATTTATTGTGAATTTTAGGCTGCTTGCTGCGCTGTAACGTTTGGCTTGAGTGTTCTCGGGAGCCTTCTACTACGAATCGGCAGCATTTTATGACCATGCTCGAAAAGCGGTTTAGGGGCTCTTTAAGTATACACAATGGCGGGGGTGTTGTAGACAAAAGCACTTGTGCTGATAAGTGTTTTGGAATACACCTACTAGCCATAAAAAAAGTTAATCGAGAGCGTCCTTTGGAAGTTGCTGAAGTTGAAGTGATGTGTAAGTGTATTAAATAAAGCTCTATTGTGGTAAATTCTGTGGTTGCAGCCTTTCCTGGAATGTTGTTGTCAGGTGACGACGACACGAAATCTTTCACAGTGCTTCCAAAGTTCGTCAGCGTCACCAAGTGTCCATTCAAAGGTGCATCTCACAACCACCAAAATGTGTGCTCTGCATTGAACTTTTATTGTCACAATTTGCCTGACGTGTGCAACCCTCCACCGGCATGAAGTATGTCAATGAAGATGTCATAGACACTGCTCTTCTATCGTGTTTGTTTGGTACCATTGGTACACCTCATTTTCATGGTCTAGGTGCACTCAAATTCTACAGGTGTGGGTGTTCAGCTCAAAGGGCAAAGCACTTGTCAGCACGTGGTATTAGGTTTGAACCCCACCTTTACCAAGGACATGTATTTTATTTGGTCATCTTTATTGCAGCGTTTCATCTTCCTTTGGTAGAAGGACAAATGGACACCACTATTGCTTTGTTCAGTTGGCATAAAAATGCTCCTGAATTCAAAAGGCATTAAGATTTACTTTGCAGTATTCCTAGAGCATCATGTTTTTCGTTATGTTGTTTGTGGCTTATATGTATATTATCTGCTTGTACAGCTCCTCCATCATGACTGCATAGTAAACAAAAGAAAACCAACTTAAAGGGACCCTGGTGTAGAAAAAAAAGACATGTTTGGTTGTTTGCTTTTTTTTAATAATAAGGCCTTTCTAACAGTATCCAGTGTCCTACACATTTTTGTGTGCTTTAGTTGAGCCAAGAAGAGCATGTTTTCAAGGACCAACTGGGGAGAAGCCAAGCCCCTTTCTCTCGGATGGTGCGCAAGCCTGAGCTTTCTGCCTCAAGCGATCTTTTTTAAAATAAAAACTAGTAATTTCTGTGAGCTTAGCAGGTTTAAAAGAAGGTATTCTGGCTACTTGAAAGCACACAATGCAGCTATCTATTTTATTTTGTCCAAGACTCTTGTGTTTAAACTTGACTGTACTTCCTGCTCATTTTAGAATTTGTTTTGCTCTTTTCAGCTATCTGTCCATCCTGCAACAAACTCATAGGCGCTGCATCAGAGAACCTTTCATGTAGATACACAAACTGAAATAAACACATTGTCTCTAATCGCTACACAACCATATGGGATACTTGCTATTCAGCTATTTGTTGTGAGGGCCAGATGCCTCATGAACAACTTAACGACTCTAAGCTTTAAGACTTGACAGCATCATCATCATCTGTGCATCAGTGCACCAGTCTACATTGGACCCACAGTCACTGGAATACTTGAATGCTATCTACAGATGTTTGACGAGTGGTTATGCAGCCTTTGTGACACCTTTCCTGGAGATGCTTCCACCACACCTACAGCACAGTGTTGACAAGCCGGAAGAAAAGCTCCTTTCACTTGTGCTTCTGATTGCTGTCTTGCTTGACACTGGCCACGTGGAAGTGTCAAGCGAGCATCGATCCCAGAAATTGTGTGAATCCCTCCTTTTTCTATATTTATGACCACATCTTGCATTGCTGTTCTGTTACCTCGTCAACCAAGCAAGTGACAACATTCACCCTAGTTACAATGGTCGCATGCATAATTGATGGCATTACGATATGTGCAGAACGCCAAAGAAGGGAAATCATAGCTTTTGAGAATTCAAAAGAATTTTCTTAGCTAACATGACATGTTTTGGATGATGTAACATCATCCAAAGATGTCACGCAGAAATGCATGTGACATTGCGTTGTAGTGCCGAAAGACTACACCCTTAACCAGTACAGCACTGATGCCTTTAGGAATGTGACACGTGCAAGCAAGCATGCTCAAATGATTGGCACATTTTCTTTACATTACACTGACAGATTGTCATTGAGTTATCATTAGGGGTGTATGTATATTTTAAATCTCGAATATTTTTCGAATAGCGTTTGCTATATTGACTTGATTCGCCCTGGAGTATTTCAATTCAAACTGCCTGACGAAAAATACAGTCAACGTCCAACTGGCAGTGGCACCTTCAGATTTTGAATATGCTTCACACCGTCGTTCACCCCATCACACTGTTTGCATCATGAACCTAAGCCAACTCGCCTAGTATTGTAGGCTACTACACTGTAATACTGCAGCAAAGCTGCCTTTCAGGTACCGCAGTCGAAAATGTGTTGAATAAAGAATAATATTGTTTCCAGCATGGAGATAATAGCTGTGGCAAAGGTAAGAGTTTAATTAATGCTGTTTTGACCTGAAATTCGGGCAGGAAATCTGAAAAATTGAATGCTGAAGATTTTTAGCATAGAAAATTTCTGATGTTCTTACATATTAATGTCTACCAGGCAGATTTAGAACTCAAATCAGACAGAGCCCTTGTCTGCCATGTTAGTTGGGCTTCCCCAGAAGTTGAAAAAAAAAAAGGAGAGGCTGAGGAAATGGCATCTTTGCCTTCCATGTATAAATTTTTGTCCCCAACGCTTTGGTTGCACTGAATTATCTACATAAATACATTTCACACTGAGGTGGAACACTTTCATCTTCTATGATATGAGAAAATGCTTGGGAATCTTCTCCAACCTTTTTTTTTCTCTGCAATTCAGCTTCAAAGTTTTCAAAAAATATTCGAGAAATATTTGAAATTGGTTTGATTACTCCAATATTCGTATTCACTTTGCACCCAGAATTCTGCTATTTGAACAACGCTAGTTATTATGTTATGCTATTGCCATTGCCAATGACAGTTGCAATTCGTTGTGCAACTTATAGGAAAATTTTCAGCTTATGAGTATGCACATACTGCTGCCATGTTAGATTACTGGTCATTGCCTCCGAACTCCATGCATGTATTTTTTTAAAAAGTGCCTAAATTGTGAGAGATGGTTCAAGCTTCTACTAAAAGGCAAACTTGGGGCAAATACCAAGTGTACATGAATTGCCAAGGTAGCATACTTGAGACCTCAAAGCGCCTTGTTTCGAATGAAATGGTTTTAAAATGACATGTTTCAAAAGAGTGCATTGGTGACGATACGTTTCACCTACCCACGTTGCCTGCACGGTTGTCAAGAGATCGTTCTTAAAACATGGAGGCTATGATGCGTTTCTTGCTCCTACTATAGAATGAAGTGTTTGCAATTAAAGAAAAGCATTTAGCCTTTGATATTTATGGCTTTTACTCATCTACGATGCTAGTTTGGATGTGCAACGTCCAAAAGGGTACTTTCTCAAATAACTGAATAGAAAAGCACAGCTAGCATTTTATTCCATTTTAGAATGCACTCCAATAGTCTAATTACAGGTGGTTAAGTACTAGTCGAGTTATAGAATTATATACTGGCATGATGCTACGTCATTGGGGTAGTACTAAATTGTCCTGCTGGACTCTCACTTGAAGTGGTGATGCCACTAATAAAATGCATTTTTTCCCCAAAAATTACATACTTGTTTTGTTTTTACTTGCTTTCACAAATTTAGTTCCTCTACATTCATGACAAAAAGAAAAAAAGGAAGTTGTAAATAAACTCAAAGCAGGTTAAAACGCTTTTAAATAGCACAAGGTGGCTATTAAAAACTATAAAGAGCCGTGTATAAGATACCGTGCATTGACTGTCGTCCAGTGTATATTGGCGAAACGGGAAAGTTTTTAGATGCCTCAAGGGGCACCAACATGATGGGACTAATAACAGTCCCACGACAAACGCCACTGCTGAACATGTGCATGAACATAGGTAATTGCATCATTCACTGGCACAACGCAGCTGTCATCACCAAGAAAAAGAACATGTCATCTCGCCAGCCCCTTGAATCTTTTAATCATCCAGTCCATGCCAGCTACAATGAACAGGACAACATGGGCTATGCCTGCTATCTACGCCTGCTCGCTGCGTTTCCCAATGATGCAGTGATGTTCTGTACTATGCCGAAGAATTCTCATTCAGAGACATGGATATTCCCTGTTTCGACGATTTATCCCTGCGAACATTGACGAAATTCCTAGCATACCTCCCTGCACAACAGTACTAATTTCCACCCCCGTCCACGCACACACATACTATAGTTACTCGTGTCCGACTTATTGGCAACTTTTAAAATCATGGCTAGCCCCTCCTATACCGCACAACAAAAGCATGACTTTATTAATTCACATACTGTTAGTACACTGCACATTGTGGGCTTCAAGTCTAACACCAATAGTGAAATAGAAATCACTCTGCCTAAATATCAGAAACAAATCTCAAGGGCTATGCTTGCATTGTGCAAGCGCCAGGATCGATTACAGCAGATGAAGGCGCACTGCGAACACTAATTATCGGTCGTCGCAACAGAATTTAACCATTCCTGAAATTTCCCGCAATATCGCGATTCCTTTTTTCCCTTTGGCTCAAAGTGACAGGCGAAAATTTCAAAAAAAGGAAAATTCTCTGCACGAAACATCACTGCATTGACAACTTCTAGTCCAGGTTGGTGAAGAAGAAACCCATTTGTGGTTCAAAAACGTTAGATCATTAATTTATTTCAACATCATCATCAGACTTGGTCAGTGTGTTTCATCTCATTCAATGCATGGCCAGACGAACTATTGTCAAACTCTTTGACTACTGCGAAGAACTGATTGTGTATGTAGAGTCCCCAGAAAACTGTCACCTGGGTGCTTGCCATTGCATTTTGCATGAGGAGTTCATGAAAGCCACATGCTCATGATAATCATAATTCCCAAGGTTTCATGATGGAAGAAATCGTGTTAAAAAGTGTATCTTTGCTGATGCTGATGCTTTTCTGATGAGCTTTCATTTCTACATCTAAAATGCATTTTATTCCAGATAGAATGGTGGGCAACTTAATTCTTGAGATTAGACATCATGTTTTTTATACTTCTGACAGGCAGATCAGGTTGAAAATTTTCTCACGTATTCCTTAACATGTGAAGTGTGCGAGTAAGTATATATGAATATTTCCGTAGCTGTGTGTGCCTTTCTGGCTCTCCTGTGACCCAGGCGACTTGATCGTGCTCATTACGAACGCTGGCACAATAGTGAGAACCCCTAAGCGGCACGCATATATCTATAGGTTACTGGCACCCTAGTGACATGGGCACAGCAAGCACAGGCCGGACGCTCCCAAAATAATGAGAACCCTGAAGCGGCAAGTAGGTTACTGGCACGGGCACACCATGTACACTTGAAAATTATGGACCATCTCCTTGAAGGTAACCCGGATAAGATGCGAAGCAGCAGCGTTGCGAATGACGACCTGCGGCCGGTTGAAACAAGCGTCGACACGAGTGCTGGAGAAGAGTTTGAAGTGGAACTCAGTATAGTGTTTGCTCAAGTAAACATCTGTTTAAACTCGAAGACATGGGAGGCAGGTTGGGTTTTGTGTTTGTTTCATCGCAGATAAACGAGACGAAAGAGTGCTTCCAATTGACGTGCGGTCGAGCATTGCGGGTGGTGAAGAGGGTGACGTGAGAGAGAAGTGTGTTGCGAGCAGGCAGAGGGGCCAGCAGCTGCTGTTGGTGAAAGACAGAGTGACGTCAACGCACCACTGCGATTCAATCTAATTGGCACTGCTCCAACAACTGTGGTGAGAAGGTTCGTTAGGACGTACGGGGCAGCTAAACACAGCTAAACTAGTCAAAGAGCTGCTCACTATCTAAAACAGCGAGAGCTGATGGGAAAACATTACAGGGAAGTGTAAACTATATGAGCAAACAGCTCGCCGTCAGATTCAGTGGCAGTCTGGCAACTTACTTATGCAACACCAAGCAGAACCTTGCCCATCGCTGCACAGAAACAACACAACTACATTCGTGCGGCGGAAGGGCAGGCAAAAATCGAGAGTTTCTTCCAAAAAGAAAATCTGCGAAGAGTGCGATTCGAGCTTCTTGCGGAACACAACTGGCTGCTAAGCGTGTGATCGCGCAGGACTGTTTCAGAAAATGTCCCCGAAGTGCGAGGATGTGAAGCGGTACGGGTCCAGACGTATGAAAACACCTGCCATCGTCAGAGAAATGGCTACAGATGCCGAAAACACAATGGTGGAGGCTCTGAAAACGCCGTGTTTTCAAAAGTGTTTTTTTTTTTCGTTTTCTTCGCAGTGGATGGAAACCAAGATTAGCAAGTTGCAAGTGTCTCATTTCAGTCTCAGTAAATCC